GTAAGTAAAAGTTTTTTGAAATCCTTCACAGTGATTCCTCTTTTGACTTGTATGATTTACTTATGAGGGGCATAAATTATTGAAATGCTTTGTTGCTTCTCTTTGTCATCTTGCTGAATTTCAAACAAAACAAATGAACAGACTCGTCTCTGCTTAAAAATGCAAAAACATACACTTCTGTTTGGGTTTCTGCCTTGGCGCCATGCCATGTTTTGAATCCAAATCTTTTAATTTTTAGCCTGCGGACCAACTGTCTTCTTATAAATATATACTGCAGAGCGCACTCAGTAGCAATGAATATCAAAACCAGTCATACTATGAAGACATCACTTTGTGTTATGCTCTCTGCCTACAGGAGGAAACCACTGATTTTTAGATTTGAGACTTGGCAGTACTTGCTTTCTTCAGTTATTCACCAGACAATGAGGAAAAGCAGTAACATTTTCAGAAGTCAAATGCTTCTTAACAACAAAGACTTATTTTTCCTGCCTACTGCAGACAGTCATGAATTGTTCATTACCTCCTACTGAAGCTGTTGTTCAGAGGATGTGCCTTTCTCTTGCTTCTGCCTTTATTCATCCATCAAAACTTTTCTTTTTTTAAACTACATTCTCAATTTCTTACCACTTAAACATGTGTTTTAGGTTCCTGGACTGTATTGAAAAAGAAAAAAAAAAAAAAACTATTTTATTCTTTTCAAAAATTTTTATATTTTGGAAGGCACATGAGAATATTAAAATAATTTTATTTCCACACTTTATACTCTGTCCCAATTTAACAATATAAAAAAATCTGAGTGAGTTTCTCCGCACAGCTTTTCTAAGCCGAATTAATATAAATGATAATGAGGTTTATCAGTTTGATAAACCTCAAGTGATAAACCCTAGCAACCTTTAGTTTAACATGACGGAAGGGATAAGGCAAAATAATGTGAGGATTTGTGTTTCTGACTAATATAAATCAATATTTATGTTGATATAAATCAATCAATAATATGAATCAACAGAGCTTCAGAGAGACCTTACTCATACAATGCAACAGGGAGACCAAAGCGAAATCTGTTTAAATGTTTTCTGTTTACAGCAGTGTACCAAAAATAGGACACACTATAACAGCCTTGGTGTTTTTCTGGGATATTTTTATCTGTATTTTACATCAGCTTTAATAGAACTGATACATGTCTGAGGGCTAATAAATTGTGGTTTGCCAGCTATTTTGGAGTCGGACTCTCATGAATTACTCTTCTGTAAAATATCAACAATCAATGGATTAAAAAGAAGAATTTTACAGCGTAAAAGACTGAACGAAACAAGACAGTCCAGGCTTTTTGTTATTACCTCAGTCTTCATTAAGGTTGTAATAAGTAATTCAAACAGTCTCTTAGTTCTTATTCACCCTCATTCTATACATCCTTGTTCCCTCTACCTGAAGTTTACTGTGTTCAGTCTCTTACCTTAGGGCGGGTCGGTGACTCCTAAATCCTGCTTCTCCATATTTGGTTCTGTTTCAGACTAGGCTTGAGCTAGAAGAGGTCTGGGCGGTTGATGCACTGACAGCAACTTAGTAATGTATTTTGATGTTAAGCCACTCTGTGATTATTAGATTTGAGAGGGGTGTGAAGGAAGCCATCTATGTTAAGAAAAAAAACAAAAAAAAAACACCCTAAACAGAGGTGGTGGACTCAGGTTTAAGCTTTCAAAAACCTACAATGCAGCAATAGAGTTGATTCCTTCCCACTATCACTGCAACCCCCACCTCCTTAAAGGGGACCAGAATATCTAGCTTATTCAGACAGGCCAACAATTCCCTCTAATGACCCCCTTTCAGAGGCATATACCAGTGTCAGGTATTGTAAATCACTGCACAAATGACTGCCCGTTCCTAAGGGGAGGACCTGTTCATTCAGTTCAATTTGCATGTTTTCTAAGCCATAAGAAGGTTTTGTTTTGGTCCACTCTATAAAGCCTTTAACTCAACGCTAATTGTGACATTTTGAATTGAAAAATCTTCCTGGACGGGAAGCGAAACGTCTTCAAACTTGGAAACAAAGTCCAGTTGATTCTTTTTTAACTTTTTTTGGGGTGATTTATAGAATAAGATAAGTATTTTAAAGTATTTTATCTGAGATATGAGGAGCCAGTTTAACTTCTTCAGAACCGGGGTTATATGCTCCACTTTTCTTAGGTTTAGTGAGGATGCAGGCAGCAGCATTCTAGATCAGCTGCAGTTAACCTTTGAAGACATCATGGCAATAAATCTGTTAAAGATGAATGCATGGATTAACTTTTCTAGATCCTGCTGGGACATTATTCTTTTAACCTTGGAGAACTTCTTTATGTGATAGAAGGCCAGCTTTGTTGTTGTCTTTACGTCCCTCTGAAGGTTCAGGTCTATCAAGTCCATCACTACACCCAGATTTTGAGCCTGATCAATGGTTTCTAGCTCTAGTAATCAAACCTGTGTTGTAACTTTTTGAAGGTTCCTCCTTTTGTCTAACAATTATTTCATCAGTGTTGTGTTTATTAAGCTGTACAATATTATGGCTCATCCAAGCACTGATTTCGTCTATGCATTTGAGAGGGCAAAATAAACCGCACCCCACTTCAATATAAGGTGGGGATCAAAATGCCAATTTATATGGGGGAAGAAAAAAAATGCTCTACCTACTCTGCTGTAACCACCTCATTTCAAAATGCTGAATTTCGTTCAGTGAAATAAATATAGCCAGTGTGTTTGCATATGGTGATGGCTGAAACAAAATTGACAAATTGAGTTATTGGCAATTAGATCTCTTTGGATCCAGTTATTTCTATTTGTCAGGGTTTGACATTTTAAATAAATAATGCTGGTGAGCTACTGTCAGGTTTAAATGAGGCTAGCTTGTTCTGTACTGTGTTTAAAAAGCAAAAACACATCTATCAAATCATGTTGTGGTAACTGCAGAATCGCTTTACTGAATAAACAGAAATACATTTGCTAAATAAATGTTCAGCTACATCCATGTTTTGATGCTGTTTAACATTATCACTGTTGTCCAACAGTAAAGTTCTCATCGTGGGTTGGTGGTAAGCTCGGCTGAAAGAAGAACAAACAATTTGAGCCTGTTTGGGTCTCTATTTAACCTGATCTCTTGGTTATAAAGGTGCATTTAACCTCGATAATGACTGAATGACGAATGAAAGGTTTTTTACCAGGAGGATGTTTTTGTAAAAAGGACCCTTTTATCCTGGTCTGTCAGTAATATCCCTTTTTCTCTCTTCAGATGAGGGTTACTACCAGAGTGGGAGGTTTCAGTTTGAAATAGATGTCCCTGAAGCTTATAACATGGTGGTGAGTAGTTTTGAGAGTTTATTTTAGGTGTTTGTGTCTTTTTCCTTTTTACATTCATGTTATAAATTAGGAAACCCTAATTTATAATGTCTTTTTTTCTTTCATTTTTTTAAATATATGAACTAGGGATGTAAACAAATAACCCATTTTACGATTAATGGTTGATTAATAGATGATGCTAATATTTGTTAATATATAATGTCCCTTTAGAATAATTTTTTTAAAGTGGTATAGAGTTACCACGGTCCATTAAAGGGCGTACCTTCTTAGGCGGATCCGAATTGGTATTGACAAGAGAAGTAAAGCCAGAGCTGAGGAATGAATACATCCAGAGTCCAGTCCAGGATTATTACACAGTTTAATGGCGACAAGGATACAGAATTAACTTTATGAAGGTTCTGTTTCTAAATACAAACATTAAATAAACTCCTTAAATACCTAAATGACGTTCAGGTGAAGCAGCGTCAACTTCTCTGTTGTGTTTGGAAGCAAAAATGTGATGGTATAAAGGAGGAGACACCAATTTTAAAGGCTCTGCTAACAGCACAAAGTCCATCCTGGCACTGATTGCTATGCTAACATTACTCCCAATTGCTGTCCATCTTACATAAACATTAGACTGACATGTTACACTAACATATTCTGTCTTTTAATGATAGTTTTACATCTCTCTATATTAGGAATAATTAGTGTTTAACATGTTTTAACTATGATTTCCTATCAGCAGTTGCTTGATGATTACAGTAAACCTCATTAGTCAGCATTATGAAGAGATTTTTTTGCCTGTTTAAACCTCCGACATGGATTCTGATTCTGATAGTGAAGTGAGAGTGATATACCACAGTAAGATTGAAAGAAACAGAGACCTTCAGAAAGAGGATTATAGGAGCTTATGGGCCTGATAATAAATCTAAAAGGGTCTCGAGAGTTTTTTCCTCCTAGTTATAGGAAAGAGCCTTAGGGCAAAGAGCACATGTAAAACAGGGATGTATCGATGGGAAAGAAGTTTGTTCTTATCAACAAGAATATTGTTTTAAATTTGACAGATGTTTACTGATATGATATACATTTCTCTACCTTTTTGACATAATGACTTCTTTGCTCCCATTGATAAGAACCTCATAATCCAGTGCTGCATCACTATCACTGCCCCATTACCAAATATGTACAACAGGGCTGGCCCAGCAACACTGACACAAAAAAGTAGACTAGCATTGCTTTATTTTATATTATCGCAGTTTTCCACAATAGTGCAAATACAGATTGTAAAAGATTGACATCGGCCAAGAAAGATGATGATGCAGATGTGTCATGGATGCTCAGTTTTTGCCATCCAAGCAGATTCATCATTCCCTCTTAAAGATATGTCAAAAAAACCTTTGTCAACCCGAGGCCCACAGCAGGATCTCATGGGAGTTAATATGCAGGTAAAAGTGTGCCTAGAGCAGTGCAAATTTCTCACTGAATAGTAGAGAGGCTAAATCTCCCCTGTAATGACATCAATAATTAGTCAAATATGCATTATTAAACCTCATAAATGTAGTCATTAAACTGAATTAAAGTTTGTTAAAATGCTTCTGATTTAATGAGTATGTTGCACATTAATCTCGGACGCGGTCTCCTCTCCTCTCTAGAGCAGCAGGATGCTGCTGGTCAGTCTTTATGAAAAATCCCCATTGAGGCCTGAGCCTCCATGTATTGAAGCAACCAGCATGAAAGCAGGGCTCTGATAGGATAACATGGTAAAATCCCTCATTTCCAGTAAGGCTAAACCTCTGTGGGGGTCTTTGGAGCAGGGGCAGGCCTCGGTGGTTGATATCTTTTTTTTTCTAATGATTAAACAGAGGCCAAAGTTTGTACCTACATTAACATCAATTGATTTACTACATATTAATGAACGAAATAAAGTAAATTATATTATAAAGAATAAGGATATTTAATGTAGTCTTATTTTCTTTTTTACAAGATTGTTTTTGGGTGAGCATTAAACTAAATGACATCCTTAAAAACGTTATGGGGTGCTGGTTATAGATAATTAAAATAAACACTTACAACATTAAAGCAACAACTAAAACTCATAATTTAAAAGATTTATACCCAGATGTCAATTATGAAATGTCAGGCTATTTCACATACCACCAGCTTCAGCTATCCGTCTCTAAATGTTATGTTTTTTTTTCTTTTTTTACACTTTGGCAATTTGAAGCTCCTCTAAGCACAATTTTGTTTGGTCCAGCAGCTTGAAAATGACATCCCTAACCATAATGATCCCATTTTAAATAATGAATGCTATCATACTAGAATGTAGTGGAAAATTAACATCAGTAGTACAGCGCCCATTTTGTGAAAGCTTTAGTCCTTGACGGGGCTGTTACGGGTTCGAGTCCCGGCTTGTTGACATTCGCAGCATGTCTTCACCCCCTATCCCCATTTCCTATCAGTAACTTTCAATTTAAGTCCCCTAGTGCCAAAAAATAAACAATAACCCCATTCTTATTCATACCGCTATGACAATCCAATCAGATGAACTCACATCTTCAACCTCAGTATCTTTTAGCTCCAATAAGACCAGGATATAATGCTGTGTGCTTTTAATTCTACTTCACTACTGGATTCTGAATCATAGGTTAGGTGCAGGTTTTGGGGTGTAGTGAATAGCTAAAGTAATCAGACAAGTCAGGACACCTAAAAAAAATAAAAACAAAATGAAATCCTAAAGTGGTGCATTGAGGCTGTGATGTACGAGGACAATCAATACAACTATTTTTACTTCCTTCTTAAAGGTCACTGCTTTCTCCTCCCTTTGCTTCATCTTTACCACTTCTCTGAGTTTAGTTTGAACTAGTTCAGTATTTAAGCTTTTTGTCTGATAAATGCACTATGAATATGTGAACATATGCTCACGTACAGACTAAAACTAATTGGCCAAAAATATCATCCAGTGTAAATTTATTAAAAGGAGTCATGTTGAAGCTTAAGTTAACCAGGCATAGACATCATAAAGGTTAAAGTTGTTGCAACTCTGTTTTACTTTTTCACTAAAACTTATCGTATCTGTGAAGTTACATAAATAAAATTTTCTAGATTCCCTTATACTATAACATGCTATCAGTGGGACAGCAATGGGTTCTAAGAAGAATCTGTTAAAGGTATCTTTTATTTCCGGGGTTGGATCATCTAATTAAGTGGTCCTCCTAATTATCAATCATTCTGGTGATATATTTACATAAGGCAGTCCTACGTGCTTGCCCTGTTATCTATCTTTTTCTGTGCAAGCGAACTTTCAGCCACATATCTGTGGTGAGCTACGGTTTCAGCCAGTCATTGAAGCTCACCTTTCTCACCACGGTTCTTTGAAAAGAGCAGAGGGTCGTAAGAGAAGAAGTGTCTATTAAGTGTATGAGAAGAAAGGAAAGGCCTCAGTAGAGGCAGATATATGGGATTTGCTATTACAGAGGCCTGCTGTGGCCATAGGCTGTCACTACCCGACAGCGACGACTAATAACAAAGATGGCGCAGGCACAGCACAGTGGAGGAGGAGCTACGTTCCCAACAGGGAGCAAAACATAGTGATCATCTGTCCAAACAGTCAGTCCCCGCTCTTTATAATGATTAAGGGATTTAGGGTTATGACGTTCGGATACAGTAAACTTGTATGAGCTATGAGAACTGCAACTTTTAAACAGAGCATGCATGAGGATAAATGGGCTTGTGCGTGCTCTCACATGTGTTTATTGGCGTTCCCTCTCTGGAGCGGGTGCAGGGTTGTTCATGTGCTTTTTTTTAAGTGGAGAGGGCGGGTCTTATTTGCCCGAAACAAAATCCTCCACAATACCTTTAAGGGAAAACCTGAGTAAACTGACTTTTTCACTCTCTTATTAAGTTAAAACCTCATTCATAAAAGTGGTTTATTTGTAATATGATGCTCATTTACAAGACAGACTTATTAGCTCAAATATAAAAACTCAATAAGAATTACAAGAACAAGAATTCAAAACTGTCTTTATCTATAAACAATAAGGATGTAATTACAAATAAAGATTTAAAAACTAGAGCAAAAAATTCTGGATTTTGTGCAAGAATATTTTAGATATGTAGATAATAAAGCCAAACAGAGAAGTTTGATCTGAGTATTTTAGTTTCTGTGGTAGATAATTCCAGATCAAAGGCGTTGGGTAAAGAAACGTTGTTGTTCCTAAATTTGTACAGATTATAAAAACACCAGGGATTGTAGACTGTAGCAGTTGTTTAGCTGACGTATGAGGAAGAGTACTTCATACAGGGGATGAATTTTAAATCATTGGAGTGACACTCCCATGTTGGGAAAATAGATTTTCAGGTTTATTCTTCTGCTCAGATAATCAGTCTAAATCAGGGGTGGGCAATTCCAGTTCCTGGGAGCCGGTGTCCTGCAACTTTTAGATGTGCCTTTGGTTCAACACACCTGAATCAAGTAATCAGATAATTGGGAGGACTCTACAGGAACCGACTGCATACTGGGGAGGTACAGTAAGTCAGCCATTTGATTCAGGTGTGTTGGACCAAGGATGGATCTAAAAGTTGCAGGATACCGGCCCCCAGGAACTGGAATTGCCCACCCCTGGTCTAAATTCTAGATTAAACATCTAAAACTTTAAATGATAATAATTAATATACCCTCCATAAACCCTGCTTAGAAACAAATGTTTAATACAATCTTTATCTCTTGTTTTTCTCTATTAATATCCAGCCTCCCAAAGTCAGATGTCTGACCAGAATATGGCATCCGAATATCACAGAAAATGGAGAGATCTGTTTGAGGTAATCCTTTCATTTTCCTTTACAGTTTATGGATTTTGTACAGAATTTATCACTTTTATTCTCCTTCTTTCTATAGTTGCCTTTTTGTTGAGGATTTTAGTTCATGCTGAGTTTAGCCCAAGAATGGCCAGATTCTTTTAAAGTATTTGATAAAATTGGCAAAAAAATGTAATTGTGTGTCCTGCATGCCTTTTAATCTCTGCAGTTTATTGCGAGAACATTCAATCGACGGTACAGGCTGGGCGCCAACCAGAACGTTAAAGGTAAACTGTTTGTGCCTTTAATATTTTTATAAATAAATGCAACTATTTGAAATATCTGTTTAAGGACAAGTGATGATGGCGGATCTGAGAGTTGTAGTGTTTTAGAATCTGTTTTAGTGGCTGTTTAATTACTGTGTGTCTTTCATGTTTCTCTCCTCTGTCTCCATCCACACTAGCGCATCTTCTTTCTCTTCCGTTCAATGGGCCTCATACAGCAACACTTTCCTATTCTTGTCCTAAATTTCTCTTACTTTCTTACTTTCAGGCTCTTATCGGATTCAGCAGACATTCTTAACTTCAGTAAATGATCATGAATGATCCTAACAAACTTGATGCCGTCCACCTGTGCGTCCACCTTTTTCCCAATAATGCCATAGAAGGCTACAAATTCCTAACACCTGTGTGTTCATTCACAGAAATTTAATTGAAGAAAAAGAAGAAGAACTTTAAAGGTTTGCTGACTGAGAGCTTAGCGTCAGAATTAAAGGTCCAGTAAAAGACAAGTGGGAAATAAATTACAACAGCTGTAAATGCTGTGGTTGCAATGTTACAAAAAATATAAAAAGAAAAATTATTTGATCCAAAAGGAGGGAAGCGGTTCAACCTATGATGTAAATGCTTAATATGAGTTCACCATAATAAAGACACACGTGTAATGAACATCTCCTGACCATGTCAGTCATCCCTTCATCATACTTTCCATCTCTCACAATGCATCCACATAAAATGATCACGGCAAAACTCTTAATATAATAAAGTCAGACCCAATCCTGACAAGGAGCTGCCATGGAGGGAAAAGAACGCAAGTCTCATAGTTAGAGGAGTTTTGCTGAACTTTCAATCCATATCAATAGTAGCCTGGTGTATGACTGTTATTTCTTTTGATGAAATAATAACAAATTAAATCAGTGTCCTCTGGATACCGACATGCCAGCTGCAAGTTTTGACCAATAGAATAAAATTTGAATTTATCATTGCAGAGTTGCACAACATATATAATGATGTCGGCTAATGAAATGGACAATTGCTTCTGAGTAAAAAAAAAAAAGTACCGTAATTTTCGGACTATAAGTCTCAACTTTTTTCCCCATTTTCGACCTTGCGGCTTATATAACAATGCGGCTTATCTATGGACTTTTACAGCCATGGCCACTATGGTAATACCTAAATCCATGGATTTTACCATCCACCATGTTTACGTCACATTTGCTTCAACACACAAGTACGGTAGCCACGCACGGGGGAATGCTGAGGTCCTCCGGAAGCAGACTTCTACCGCGAGTGGTACGAGACAGAACGACAGCGAGAAAGACGGACATTACACATAAAAAACCTGCGGCTTATAGTCCGGTGCGGCTTGTATATGTACAAATCATGCAATTTAGCTTCTGCGGCTTATATTCAGGTGCGGCTAATAGTCCGAAAATTACGGTAGTCATTTAATAAAAAAGCAGATTTGTATTATACCTGATTGATTGAGCAAGACAAGAAATAGGAGTAAAAATGGTGAATGTGACTTTTTCTCCTAAATTACGATGTAAGATTGAATTTGTTCGTACTGATGGTTCTTGGATGAGTTCCATTGTTTACATCTTGCTTCTTTCTTCCTCCTTCTACCTTTTTTACCTATCTGGCAGTGTTACTGTTTGTAACGGAAAATATATCTAACCGTGTTAAACTGACCCAACTCGACCTGAAGAGATGAGAAACTAATGGAAGAGGCGGTTTAAATGCTATTGTAGGAATTAATGTCTCGATAGTGAGCTACTGTTACTTTGTTAAACTGCTGTACTTAACCAGGGTAGAAAGTAAAAGCAGGATACTTTCTATAAATATATCAAAGCTGTGTGCAGGGTTGTTTAAGGTAAACCTCTTAACAGAAGGCTTTTTACTTGGATATAAGAGTTCATTGATATAGATAGTTCTAGCCTTCACTCAGTTATATGCTCTCCCTTACAAGCTGTTAAAGGACAGTTGCAGAAGTTCAAAGCAAGGACGATGTCTTCTGTCCTTGCTTAACAGAAAAAAAATTACCTCTGATGGAAACTATGACTTCAAACTGTTATACAAGGAAGGAGCTCAGCCCTCCATGCTAACTAACTTCTTTTCTCTGCAGAGACCAAGGAATGGATCAACTTTTTTGTCTGTAAACGCCATTTTTTAAAATTAGATTACCGTACAAATTTCCTATGATGAGGCTTCAGCCCATTTTTATTTTAGAATTTCAGAGTCTATTTTCCTCTCTTTTCTCTTCAGTTAAACTTTTCCTCGGGTTATTTGTTGTTATTTAAAAGATTATTGCCTAAAATTCTGAATATGTTAATTACAAGAAAAAAAATAGTAATCATAGTTTTAAAATAGACATTTTAGCTCTAAATTAAAAAGATACAAGTAAATTATTGGCTAAATCAATTGATATATGGTGTATGCTCTTGCACACGTGCTCTTGACAGGCGTTCCCTCTTGGGAGCCGGTACAGGGTTGTGCATGTCCACTTTTTTTTTTTTTTATTGGAGAAGGCGGTTCTTTTGAAAAATTAGGGAAATTCCTCCACTATACCTTTTTATAGAACAGGTGTCTGCTGTTCTGTTCTTTGACTGCAGTCCAATATTTGGATATTGAATATTGCAAACTCAAACCTGCAGCTCAGTTTTAAATTCTTGAAATAAAGTGGTAATAATGTGTTTATATTTCATCCAAACTCCAATAAATGAATATTCTTTGCAGTGGTGCCTCAGGTTTTCTTTTATAAGAACCAGAAGATGATTCAGAAACCATCAGGACTGGTTTCTGCGTATGGATTAGTGTAGCGGCTAAATGAAGTTGAGCTCTGTCCGGAACATGGATGTGTTGCCTTTTCTGTCAGCTGTTGTTATTCTGGAAATGTGCTTCTGTGTTTACTCAAAGGTAGGTGTGGATGCGGTCACATGCGTGTGAGCAGCTGATCTTGAGTTCATGTGTCAGCTGGTGTCGCAGAGAGTGCACCAAAATATGTGTGAAAAACAAAGTGCAAAAGCTGCTAAGCTGAATGTCTGTTTTGAGTAGGTGTTCCTGTCCCTGTTCTCTGGTCACCGCTCTGCTCCACTGCAACCCACTCATAGACTACTAACTTCTGTCCTCTTTTGCATAATGTGCATATATTGCATGCAGTTAAATCTGAGCTCGTTCTGTTTGGCAAGTAGTAAAACTGGCTTTAAAGGCAGCATCTGAAAAACATCTTTTGAATCCAGAATCTTTGAGGTAAGCCAGAGAAGCAGACCTCCTGCGTTACATTAACGTACAGTCTACTGTGTATATAACTATATACTATATACTGTATATAGTATATTGTATGTTTTATATTGCATAAAGCTATGGATTCTGTGCTCTGTATATATCTATTGAATTGGTCTGCACCTTCAACACCAAGTCAATTTCCTTGTAAGTGCAAAAAAGGGAACAATATTACAATCTTCAACTACAAAAAACCTATATTAGAAAATGTGACAAATATTACTCAGAAAAGGAGCCTTTCCATAACTTTAAGACAGTTTTGCTTTTTGTTTTCTTGTTTTGTTTTTTTCCAGTGGTGCTGGTAATTTTTTTCTTTTTAATCTTGGAAAAATATCTCAGCCATTCAACCCATACCTGCATCTTCATTTCTCTGCATCATATTTAGGTTAGAAAACCCTCAGCTTAGTGTATGAAACATAATAACAAAAATATCATAGACTGGCTAAATATTAATGGTCCAACACCATGAGCTGGGTTAAGCCACAAAGGTTAATGTAGTGATGGGTTATACATCTTGTAAATGGAGTACTACTTCTACTAGAGACTCACCTATGGTTTTGAATGTTATTGCAAGAATAATTTTCGTAATATGTACATTTAATTAAGAGGGATTGTAAGAAAACAGTGGAAGTATTTGTAAGTTTTGTCTATGACCAGAATAATGTAGGTGGTTTTAGTTGACATTTTAATTTGTAGCACATAGTTAGTCTTTACTAGTTTTGTTATTGAAATGGTTTCGCTCAGTCTCCATGCCTGTCAACTTAAATAATTTGTAAACCATTCTTATTTAACTTAGAAAAATCTTGGCATAGAAATATTGTTTGCTTTTAAAAGTGAAAGTACAAAACAGATCTCCAGAAAACCACAGCTGCATTTGTAAGCATTCCAGAATCGTAGCTTCTTCTTATTATGTAGATTTAAGAATCTCAAATAATTAAAAAGTAACTTAAAACGAGCTTCCAAGCATTAATGCCAAATGTCCATCAAAGAACAGCTGTCTTTAGTATTAATTACCGGTATGATGCCAAACTGGGATGTATTACTTTTGTGTTTCTCTGTCTTTCTTTTGACTCTTAATCACTGTGTGAATTCTGCCTATGTTGTTTTATTTGTCTAGACTTCCTCTGCATTTAAAAAGGCACTGCAGTTTATTTATTTATTTATTTATTTTTTTTGGTTGTCCAACTGCTTGCAGCTACGGTAACTTCAAAATAGGCCAGAACCCGCAGGAACTGTGGGTCACTGAATAACACAAATGGACATGATGTTTTATTTAAGTCAGCAGTTTAACTTATGAACAATTCTCTGAAGGGTATTGCTTTACCCATGGTGCATATGAATGAAATGTAACCTTCAAAAAAAATGTTTGTAAGTGGTCTCTACCACAAGTAACTTTCTTGACATTTCATTTGTAGATTAGGCAGTTTTTTTGTGATGGCTGTATTGGTATGTAGAGGTAAACATGCTGTGTATTTTAATTTCAACATAAACTGAGACACATCCTGATATTAGATTTTTCCTTTTCTGTTTTTTTTTTTTTTTTTTTCCTTTTTTAACTAGCCTTGACCTCAAAATCCAATTTGGCTTCTGTCAAAAAGAAGTTTATTTGCAGTTCTGATTTTCAGATCTGTTTATTGTTTTGTTTTGGACATGAACAGTTCTGATTATCAGATCTGTTTATGTCCAAAGGGCATGCAGTAGAGCTGCACATCTTTTCTGGAACATGTCTTTTTGAAGAGTCAAACATATTCCTTAACAATGGATAAGCATGTTTTCTGTTCCATGGGTGCAGAAACAAAATGGCATCTTTCTTCTTGGGGAGTCCTTCCAGCTTGTTCCTGATGCATGTTGTGGGCAGAACCTCTGTCTTATACTGGCGCCCGGGGAATTTGAAAACGGTGCACTTGCAGAGGGAGAGTTTTGTATTTGTTCTTGTGAAATAGGAAATGTCAAAAGCAAAATTATGTGAGAATACTGATGTTGACATTCAGCCTTCCTGTTGAGTGCAAATCCTACTGTTTTTTCTACTTGTAACAAGAACACGTTTAAGCTAGATGTAACATAATCTCAGATCTGACTTAAGGTTTTGAAGGTGATTAAATTTTTTTTTTTTAGTAAACAAACAGGAAGCCTTTGTAATGCCTGCTTTGGGGAGTGTGGCCTAGTAGTTAGAGCATTGCGGTTGGAATCCAGAGGTTTTGAGTTCAAGCCCCACTCCCACAGACTGCCACTCTGAGCAAGACGCTTAACCCCACACTGCTCCCCGGGCAATTGCAGCCCACTGCTCCCAAAGGGGATGGGTTAAATGCAGTTAATTTAATTGCTCTGTACTTGCGACAGAATAATAATAATAAAACCTGGGAAAAAAATATATAAATGAAGATCTAGGTGAATAATACCGACACTGTCAGGATGGAAATAAAGAAAAAAATGAGTAAAATGGAAGTTGATTGCAATCAACAAACATCTAGTTATCGTATTAATCAGCTATAACCACAATTGTATGTTTCTCTGAAATGCTGCAGGACCAGCCAGACGCCTAGTGGTGACTTTCAGATATAAGAAGAGATTACTAATATAATAAGAGATTATTTAGATTTTCTTGGTCAAGTCATTCTAGTGTGAACAAACATCTGATTTTAAGTTGTTATTCCTATATCTCAGAAATAAGTAATTTTCTTATGTGTGTTTTTTTTCCAGGATGTGGTCTGGGGATTGAACTCCTTGTTTACTGTAAGTAAAACCCTTTACTGTAGACACTGGCTTTCAGTAAGCTGTTTAACCTCATGGTATACCTGTTGGCTAACCAGCTATTACCCCCTTTACACCACCCCTTTGAAACTGATCCTTGTCGATTTTGGGCAGAGCTGGGATCAGTTAACCGTGCCGAGCTTGTTTGCTTTTACACCTTTTACACATCACACTATTACAGTTCCTCACCTCCTGTCGGCTGTCTACAATACCACAGCTCTCAATGCGGGAACTACGCAAAACAAAAATGGCGGCACCAATAACATTCAGAAACTTATTTGCCTGGATAGCGTCCTCTGCCCAAATTTGGTCTTTGCATCGTCCCAGATCACACCACGCCCTTTTGATGCCATTCATTGTTAATAGGCTGAGAAGAGGTTTGTGTTGTGAACACATGAAGAGGTCTGTGAATTGCAAAGCCTAACACGTCGGAAAAAACCCGCGAAATGAGTCAGCTGGCTGTAAATAGGAGATGACATGGTCTGCTCATGCAGTCTTTGTCATCAGAGAACCGAGCAACAACTGAACCGGGCCAAGCCTTGCTGTTGAAATAGTTCTAGATTTAGCGTGGTTCGATTGTGTCTGGCACGGTCAAGTTCAGTTGTATTGCATTTACACTCAACAGTTATATCGGTTACTGTGTTTGGACCGTTCTCGGCACGGTTTCAAAATGGTAGTTTAAATGGGGCTTATTAGTCCTTAAACAGGCCATAAAAGAAGCATTAAAAGAGAAATATCAATAAATCTCCTCTTTTTTTCTTCAGTCACAGAATCAGTTGGGTCCTCAGTGAATCTCCACAGCTTCAGTTTATTATTAAACTTACACGCTGTCAGTTTAAACTCAGATATAAATGAACAAGGTCACTGTTAATCCGTATTTCAAAGACGTGCTGAGACCATAGGCACCGACTTGCGGGGGATCGTGTTTCTTGTTATGAAAACCGCTTTGATGTAACTTGGGAGGTCGAAGCGAGAAAATCTGATTGCTCGTCGCATTTTGGAGATGCCAGCTGGCTCAGGATGCCTGATAGTGGCACTTCTCCTGAGGACACATACGCAGTTATGCATCATTTTTTTATGTGAAACTGAAGAGAAAAAAGTAACAGAATCAATATGAATTTTCCCTTAAAGGTTTTTGGTATAAAAGAGCAAAAAAGTACTCTTTTGAATTTAAATTCCTTCAACCAGACTAATATTTCATTCTCAAGTAAACAGCATATTGATACACTACGTCTTATGATTCATACAAATTTAAATAGACCCATTGATTCTATGCTGAAAATATTGGTTCTTACCCTGAGGTCATCACTGTGTTCATGGTGATAATAGTAACGGTAATATGCCCTAGATCTCTCTGCTCTATTAAGGAATAACCTCCCAGGCCGTCCTCCTTTTTATCTCTTTTATAGCGAGCCTGCCTCTCTTGTTGTGTGCAGCGTCTCTTTGGCGACTGTGTAATTAAACCATTTTGTTTGTTGCAGTGACAGCGCTGAGGTGACATTGCACACAGTTGAAGAGGATTTCATTTCCCAGGCAGCTTTTCTTAATTAACAACATTTGGCCCTCAGAATGAAGAGCTAAACCCTGAAAGGATGCTAATAAAAAGACAGAACATTTAAGAGCCTCTGGGCACAAACAGTTTATGGTTGAGTGATCAGGGTTTTTTTGTACTGTTTGCCAGAGCATATGTGCTTTAGCTCCACTGTACTTCTATGACGTTTATTTTTGTCTCTTCTGCAGGACCTGTTGAACTTCGACGACCCATTGAACATCGATGCAGCAGAACATCATCTGAGAGACAAGGTGAGGTGGATTAAGGGTGTCCGTAGTTTTATTCATCACATTAGGAGACGCTTCAACCAGGGATTGTGAAATCTGACATGCATTAAATTCATTTTTACACCATTTTTCCGGTTTTCCCTAATAACTTTTAGAGATATCAGCTTGTGGGAATACTGTGCATTAAACCAGATCTGCTCCGTGCATTTGGTGGAGCTGCTCCACTTCATGAAACACACTGGGATTTACTTGCGTTTCTAGGTGATGGAATGTGATAATAGGAAGTGCTTTAGTTTGGTGTAGTGGGCTGGAGCTGCCTTTTTGGGAACACAGTGGCTGTGACTGGATACTCCAAAGCTGTTTTCACAGGAAAGCCACTTGGCCACGCACTGCTGCTAAATTTGGTTCCTCTACAGTAGACGGCAGGAGCTTCAGTTTGCAAATCAAATCAGCGTATTAAAGCAGATCTCAGTATTCTGCCGTCTCTGTATTGGTGTGGGAAGTATAAGTGCATTTAGAAAGGTTTCATTTAGCATATAACATCTCTGACACAGTGAAGTTTTTTTTTTGCTGTTTAATGTTTTATTCTTTGCCTTCTACTATAAATTCTGCAGTATATTAAATATAACAGATTTTATTTAGGCACCATAAGAGCATGTGTAAGTTATCTGCAAAGACGAATTTCTGCAGGAGCACACCAGACTGAGCAGAGTTTGTTGACCACGCATCAGATGAGTATCGAATGAGCGTGTGTGAGATTAAACCATTGCACATCCCTTAATGATGCTGAGAGGTGTAGTGAAGAAATGAAGGTAAACATTTATTAAGAGTCGTTGCAAAAAAACACCTATATATTCTTTCCACGCCAAAAACCTTTTATTTATTTTGTGTGGTTGTATTTAAGCTACTTTTTTTATTCCAGTATTTAATGGTTTAACAGTAGATAGGTTGCATTTACCTATTTTTTAATGAAATGTTAGGCCTATATTATTTTCCTCTTTAAGTCATAGTGCTAAATTTGTATGCACAAGTAACTATGTAGCTCGCACTCCCAGTTCACTGCATGTAACTGGTAGTTGTGCTACCAACCAGTTAATGGCACCGGACAGTGGAGCATGTTGCTCCAGCAGGAGGTTCATTAGTTGCTTACTGAGGATTTCAGCGAATGTCTGCAGTGGAGCAGACATCATACTTGATGCATTGCCCTGCCTCACGCTGGATGGTGTCACAGCTCCTTACAGTCTATGATGGTTCTCTGTTTCCATCAGAGTCTGATGCTCTGTGACCTACTGTAGCAGCAATGCTGGAATAAATAATATAAAGACACCCTATGGCATTAACATTCAACAGTTGTGTAAATATCTGAAATTTGATAAAAGCTTCTTTAGAAATCATCCGCCTTACAGTAATCGAGACCCTTTAAAGATGATCATTGAAAACCTTAAAAAAACAAACCTCTTTATAAGCGTTACATAAATCTGTTTTCAGTAAATTTAGAGCTACTTCACCCTCCTGTTGTACGTCTATGAAGTCACAGCAGCTGAAAACATGAAGTTGTTCAACCGTGACCCCCCCTCCCGCTGAGTCACAGCATGGCATAATCAACTTCAGGAGCGAGTGGATAGAGGTGTGGGAGGGTGTGTGACTGTGGATGTGGATGCTTTTATATGTAGATGTGTTTCCTTTAGTGTGTTGAGGCTTTTAAAGTGGTGCTACTCCTCTGGCTGCTCTCTGAATACATTACCAGTTAAAGTGGCTGAAAGGTAGCATTCTCAGAGGTTGAATGTAGTGTGTAGTTTGTTACTCACTTCAGTTCAGTGATGTGAGGCTTTGTTGACAAACAGGTCGAGAATTACAGTAAAGATCTTAAACTGTCTCGCATTTGTCCTAAGCTTTTCAAAGCATGGACTGTTTGGATATTTTTGAATCTGTTTTTAAAATAAATTGCGGCCCCTGAGAGTTTGACTGTTTGCCCTAGTGAAGTCCTCAGTGCATTTCTGTTTGATGCTTTTTAAGCACCTTAAAAGGACAGTCAACACTAACATTATAGGTCCTTTGCAGAGTTAATCTGTAGTTTCTGATTACCTTAAAAAGATAAATATATATATATAAGAGTATTAAAAATAGTGTTGCACCCATACCGATACTGCCTTAAAATGGTGGTATCGGAGAGTACCGACAAATAAGGAACCAATACCATTTTGAGAGCCAAAAGTTTATTCAACTATTGTCACCCATTCCAGGTAGGCAGTAAGAAGTTCTACTAGACTTTGTATTTGTCTTTTTCCTGCTTCACAAAGGTAGGCAGAAGCTTATCAAAGCCATGATGGCAATTATTTTACATTCAAGTAGTATGTCGTTCTTCATATATACACACACACATCAATTTCAAATAGATGGTATCTATATGGTATCGGAATCGGCCGATACTGCACAGCCAGGTATCTGGTATCTGTGCAACACTAATTAAGACTAACAGAGCTACTTTTAACCCAGAACACAAACTCTGCTTCTTCTGTTCTATCATTGACAACTGGTCCAGATCACAGGATGATTGTTACAAAAATCTATCTCATGCCCACTAGATTAGGGGTAGCAATCCCAGTTCCTGAAGACTGGTATCATTGGTCCAACACAAACGATTCAAATGGCTCGGTGTGGAATCAGTTCCTACAGAGCCCTCTCAATTATCAATTTACTTGATTCAGGTGTGTTGAACCAAAGCTACATTTAAAACTTGCAGAATACTAACCGACACTCAGGAACTGGAATTGCCAATCCCTGCACTGTATAAGTTTCCATTACCTTTTTTGTATTTTTTTTTAACGCACATTTTTAAGTATCGCATTCGTGGAGTTTGAAGTCTCAGAATGAGATGTAACATCAATAATGCTAGCTGACATGATAAATTAAGTAAAAATTGCTCAATTGCGATACATTCAGTAACCTGAATGTATCCGTGGTAATACCTGATCATTAGTCTGTGGTAGCTAGCTACCTCTACTTCCTGTTAATTGCAGCCTAGTGTAGCCTAAACGCTAAACACATCTAATTTGCTTGTTTTCTTCAATGTTATGAAAAACCCCTCAGTATTCACATGACATATGGGTGGAAAAACAGCTTTTGTTAGGTATGGTGGGAGATTTGGGATACTTTTTAGTCTGGTTTCTCTGCCAAGGGTCCAAGCAATCTTCTTGGAGTTCATGCCAACATGGAGTCTTTAAAACAGCAGCACATTTTAAATAGAGATCAGGGGGACTGAAAATGGGTCCCTATTGAGTGTTTTGGTTGGATAAGGATTTTAAAAAAGGGAGCCAAATCACACATTCAGTTTACACTGATGGATCTAAACAATTTGGTTTCAGAAGTATTTGGAAAGGCTTGAAATCAGGTTAGTGTCGACTTTCTAGAACTATGTTCTGTTTTTAGATCAGAAGTCGATGCTTTGCACTTGAACACTTTGAAAAAAACAGAAAGTATCAGAAAGCATGAGCCTCCAGATCGTGTCTTCATGTAGTGGAATTTAAAGCTCCCTTAATCCAGGATTCTATGTATGTTTAGGGAAAAAGAAATTGTTTTAAGCTCTTTTTATGTTGTTAGTCCTAAAGCATTGCCCTGTTGATAATGAGAAAGGAGTTGGTACTGCTTTAGGGAGCCTTAAATGCAAAAGATGTGACATTTTAAATATCTGCCTCATATTTTTTTACCTTGTTTGATATTTTATATTTGTTAGAAGTTAATGAATGACTTGAAATCAATGTTGAAATAACAAACTGCATAAATTGATCCTGTTAGGTTTTATTTATTTACTTGTTAAAGGTAAAAATGTCTCCCATGTTTCAGCACTAGGAACCTTTAAAGAAGCACGTGTTACCTCATTATTCTCCTCTAATGAATGATCCACCTCATATCTGAGCTTTTGAATCAATTATTTAAATTGAATCACATTAATGTCAGCAGCTATTAACCTTGTTGCCACAATAGAGCTAATTTTGCCAATATAGTGTTACACATGAAACGCTAAAACTGTCTGTGGTCAAATGGACAAAGAAACAGTTCATCAGACACAAATTTAACCCTTCGGAAGAGAAAACAGAATAAGAGAGTAATGGATTATGACATTGTAAAGAAATGCGAAAAAAAATGGTGAGAGATTCCTCTATCTGTATGCTCCAACTTTGTGAAGCAAACTAGAAAAAAATAAAGTGCTGATTGAACATAGCAATCTGAATAGATGTTTCCAGATTATGTTTTTTTTCTCCATTCACTTTAAGAAAAGGCTACTTCAATTAAATATTATTAATTGAAGAACATTACTAGGCTTTTCTATGGTGGCCTATAGGTGTGGAGGAAGCTAAAGAACCAGTCATACTTCTTTTTTTCCATTTAGGATTCCTTAAATAAGTGAAACCCACACATAAGCCTCAAGACCAGTCAATATAATACACACAATAGAGATTTACTCTTAAGCACTTGGCATATTCACCAGAAGAAGAGGGCTATGCTCTGAATATACCTGCCTTTGCTCTGCATTTTGCTTTTTAATAGGAAAAGAGATTATTTGGTAGAGAGAGTGGAGAGGTGGAGGTTTTCCCCTTCAGAGAAGGGAACAGTAGAGGCAAGAGGGAGCAGATGTGTGAATAAAAAACTAAATAGGAGGGTCATTAAATCTGCAAGAAAGAGTGTTGTTTAAAATAGGTGAGTTAAAGTAATCGAGTTAATGGTCCAAAGCGAAGATTATGCAAGCGGAGTGGCGTTAATAGTGCTGTGTGTCAGAAGTGAACATTTACAAGACGGTAGAACTGATTTGATCCAAGAATCTAGGTACACAATAAAATGGAAGTTAACTGTCAAAAAAACCAAACGAGCAGGGAGCTTTTATTTTCACATCAGCACTGCATTTATCCACAAACACCTTTAGATCCTCACCATCGCTCACAACCCAAACTCTTTGTTCTTTTTTTATCTATCCAATTAAAAGCAGCTCATTTTCTCATATTTGTTCAAATTTAACAGAAGAAAAG